GTTCATGGTGAAATCTTTCGTGCATCCCAAGACCCATCCTTACTTTACCCAAAATGATACACCATGCCATTCCAACAAGACCTCCACACCGTGCCCGTGAAGCCACTTAAAGACCGACGACTAGCACCTCGTACTGCAGTATATATCCACCAAATTCGAGGCACACATGCACCTACGCTACCCCACCAAGGACAAAAGGGAAACCCATATGCACACACACACACACACACAGACAAAAAGAGCTCGCTCTGACATTACGTTTCCGCGAGCCCCCTGGCGGCCCGATCAAAAAGCCTCGCTTCCGAAAACCGAGCCTCCCCAGGCAGTAGAACGAGCACTTCGGACACGCTCATCACACTGGTGTCACCCGCCTCAAGCGTCGGCTTAGGCGGGACCGCCAAAAGGGTCCCCGGTTTTGGTTCAGATCCTCTCTACAACTAGTGTCTCCGCCTGCAAAATCCCTGACCTCGTGAGACCACGAAAAAACCCAAAGCCGTAACTTGGAACCCCCAAACCCTAATTTTAAACCTCTGAACCCCCCCAAACCCTTAAAGCGGCCCGGCCGGGGCCCATGACTCCAACGTACCCGAAACTTTACGACGTAGGGTCGGGATATATTAATGTCCCCTTGGTGCTACATAACTTCACGATCACGGACACCAAAACCCGTATAAGCCCAACATTCACGGCAAAGCTTCATACCGAGCATCCCAAGAACTCCGATGCCGGGCGCTTGGTGTTTGGGGTTTCGGATTTCGGGATTCGGGTTTAGGGTTTGGGGTTCAGTTTCGGATTCAGGGTTTCGATTTTGAGGCCTGAGCCACTTTCTTTCGTTCCCTGCTCTTCGCCGTTCAGGGATGTTTGGCTCTGACAGCTCCTCATCTCCCCTGCATCACACTGCTCGGACAGCCCCCAGGATGCCTTTTTGGTAGAAGTTTGAGATTTGGGGGGTTAGGGTTTAGGGTTTAGGGTTTAGGGTTTAGGGTTTAGGGTTTGGGGGTCTGGGTCGTCTGGGTTGGCGGGCGCGTGGGCGCCATCTTCGAAGATCTGCCCTGGCGTAGCGAGGCACCAGGCTTGCGAACACTAAGCGCTGCCTTTGCCGCAGGTGTTCACGCACTTGAGGAAGTCGCTGCTTAGCTTGAGTTCAGTTGGTTCAGGATTTCGGTGAGAGGAGTTCTTTGCCCTCCCGGACAAGGAGGGAACGCCTCCACAGGTAGGTCCCGGGTACGATCTCCAACTTCGGCATCTCCCGCCTGGAGCCACTCAGCTCCCTCCCTCACGAGACCGTGATATGGGCCCCAAGTCATAGTACGTAGCACCTGACCGCGTTCCCCTGGACTAGGAATGTTTGGGTTGGAGAACTGCACCGCAAGCTCACTGTGATCGGTATGCGAACCATGCAAACCACCCCATAGCCCCTCGATTAAATTCGCCATAAACCTGGACCCAAAACCTTCAAATGCCCTTCCCACGACCATTCCTGCAACAGCATGTCGGACCGGCTCCGTGTTATTGTGTTGGCAGCTCGTGCTTCCAGGAGTGGGAAGTTTAAGCATTGCCAACGTTCGTGGGCTTGTGCCGCCGTCTTCTCGGGCCGGTGCGTGCTCACCTAGCGCACTTAGTAGTCGGAAGCGGAAGGCAGTGCGTGTATCAGGTCAAAGTATTGCCACAAGGTCCGAGGGCTTTTGTGCTGTCGTTTCCGGGACCGGTACTGTACCAAGTCACCAACCCACCAGTCACCAAGACTTGATCGCAGGTGCACACCCTGAGCCCTAATACAAACTGACCCGAAAACCCAAACCCTGAAACTCGTAAACCGCCGAACTTCGAACCCTAAACTAAACGGGCCCTAAACCCTAGACCCGATTCCCTTCATCCGTTCCATTGCTACTCTCAACCTCACACCTCAAACAAGAGCCCTGAAGCCCCGGACCCGTTTGGGTCTAGACTGAATCCTGAACCCATGAACACCGATGCGCAAAGCCCTTAAACCCCACACCCTGAACGCCTAAAGCCGAGACCCCAAAACCTTTTAAACCCGAACCACAAGCCAGATGAAGCCGAAAGCCGACACCCCCCCAAACTCTAAGCCCCATGCTCAGCTCGCGACCCTAAACCCCAACTCTGGACCCTAAACCCTAAGCCCTAAACTCTAGACCCTGAGCCCTCAGCCCTGGACCCGAAGCCCTAAACTCTAGACCCATCACCCTAAGCACCAAGCTCTAGACCCTAAGCCCTAAACTCTAGATCCCAAGCCCTAAACCCTAAACTCCGAGGAAGAGGTCGAGGCCAACTTCGAGTTGGTGAGCCGGGAGGTTCAGCAATGGAGGCACGAAACCGGATTAGGGTTTAGGGTTTAGGGTTTAGGGTTTAGGGTTTAGGGGGGGTGGGGGGTGGGGGGGTCGGTTCAAAGGACTTAGATTCGGTTATCCTACTAAGGAAACCACCTTGTCTGCTAAAGATCCTTATTATGGCATCTTTAAGCTCTTTCCCCTAACAAGAACCCAGTTCAGGGTTTCGGGTTTAGGATTCAGGGTTTTGGGGCTTAGGGTTTGGGGCTTGCCATTGTGGGTTTGGGATTCAGGGTTTAGGATCTAGGGTTTCTTGGCCCGGGAAATGAAGGGGGGTGTTCATGACGAGGCTCGTTTCAGGGTCTTGTAGGGGTTGCAGGTCTATCAGGATGTTTTGAGTTAGAATGTTTGTAAGGGGTTGTGTGGCTCGGGTGTTTTATGCGTCGCCTTTTTTCTAAGGGTGGGTCAGGGTTTGCAAGAGGGGGGTGCGGTTGTAGGGGGTTTTACTGGCGCCTTCAATCCAAATAGCCCATCATCCTGAGTGTTCGGTGATAGTTATCCTGTGGGTTATGGATACAAGCGAGTACTTTACATAATTACCTTCAGGGTTTAGAGGTTGGGCTCTCCCAGAAGGCCTAGAAACCCTAAACCCTCCTAGACATGATGGGGGTGATCAGCCAAAGCTTGCAGAGCCCTAAACCCTAAACCCTAAACCCTAAACCCTAAACCCTGAACCCCAGAGTCCCTTTGTTTGGAGGCCTGGAAGCTTCCAATTTCAGCGGACATTGCAGAGAGCCGGGCGAAATCAAGGCGGGGCTTCGCCCGGTTTAGGGTACTACTTCTAAACCCTAAACCCTAAACCCTAAACCCGTGGTCTATGGGTTTAGGGCTTTTGGGCTAGGTGTTCGCTTCGAGGATTTCTTGGGTTTGGAGGTTCCCAGAATGTCTTGGGAAGCAAGGCGTGCTCTTTCAGGGCTCTCGCAGTCGTAAGGATCTTACCATGAGGGGTTTCCACCAGGGCCCCTTATCTTTGAGACTGCATGGACAAAGTACCTCGATGCGTCATTGCAGGCGGTTTTGCAGCACGCGTTGTCGTGCTCAAGGCTCTCTAGGTATCTGGGAGTTTCCGAAAACTAGGGGTACCTTATTTTGGGGTCCTTATAATAAGGATCCCTATTATTTAGGGTACTATATTAGGGTCCCCTATTTTCGGAAACCCCCATCTAGAGCTCAAGCTGCAGGACCTGGAGCCCGAAAGCCCCGAAACCCTAAACCCCGAGACCTCAAAGCCGGTAGTTTAACCCAAAACCCAAAGCCTCCTGGCCCTAAGACCCTACCACCCCGAGCCGAAATCCTGAGACCCCCTCCAAAGACCAGACCAAAATCCTGCGCCCCGCTGACCTTGGGCCGGTAGCCCCTACAAAGTCTGAGCATCAAGGAGCCGAGTTGAGACAACCTATAGAACCCTGAGGCCCTGAACACCCACCCGCCTCTTCAGAACCTTGTAAGAAGCCCCCTAAACCCTAAACCCTATCAAGGAACAGTAGACCTGATGAAGTGCATCGATGACGGCAGCTTCGTGGCCGTGAAGGTCATGCCAATCTCCTGGACCCTTACAGGTGCAGCTGGGTAGCTGTTGCTAGTCTCCCGGACTCTACCGCTGTTGATCTTGTTCGATTCTGCTATTCTTTTGTATTCTGTGGGGTGTTGAATTCGGGCTTCGGGTTTAGGGTTTTGATGATCTTGTTGTACTCGACGTTCTTGCTGTTCATGCTCCTCATAAGCTCTAGGTAAATCTGAAAGGCCAGCAGGGCTTACGTGCGAGGTAGTATCCATGGCTTTACCGGTTTACCCCGGTTTCGAATTGAAGGCCGTAATGGCCCGTCACACTGTTTTCCGTCTTGAGCCATTGTCAACAAGTAAAGTGCGTGTCATTCTTGCAGCAGTGGGCCACTGCACAACTTTACAGACCACTTCACAACCGCAAGATGAACTGAAGCCTGTTCTGTGACAACGTTCCACGATCTGCACTCCTCCTTGTCTCCTATGCTTGCGGCGGAGGCATCACCACAAAAAGTGGACGTTCTCGGTCACAATAACTGCACAAGGTGTAGGCCTTCGCCGGCCGTACCGCATTCCTCTGTCCATGGCAGCCTTGGACTGTGTGCACCTTGTCACCATTTGACGTGATCCAAAATGGACCTTCAAAGCCGACCAAGCGTTCGGCTTCAATCATTCCTGGCCAGACGTCAGTCTGCGTACTCTGTGATCTCTTAGAAGGGCTTGGTTGTGCGGTATTTGATGACTTCCGCGATGGTGTGCCGTAGATGTCCATGATCCTTTTAGTCATAGGTGGGGTCTGGGGCTCCTCCTCAATGCGTTTCTTGAGTTCATCACGGACGGCAGCTTCAGCTCTTTCTCGTAGTCGTTCAAGTTTCTTTCGCTTTCTGTTCCAAGTCGCCCATGATGAATTCAAACAGCCCAGGATCCTCTTTATCAATTCCCAAACTGCTAGCTACGCATGACACCCCTCCCAACACCATAATCACGTAGAGCTCGATGGACATGTCCAGGGGGAGGTCTTCCTTGATGCCAGCCCGCGCACCCTGAATCATCATTACACATACCATCAAGAACATAATGATTGTAGCTCCTTCCTCAGAGTCATCCTCAGACTCGGATTCATCTTCCAACTCCATTTCTGAGACATCAACTCTTTCCACTCCAGTGCCCTCCAGAGGAAATCCCCATCTTGACAAACTCGCCGATGCATTTGTACTCAACGTAGAAACTCCCAGGGGGGGTAACAGCCGCAATAATCCAGTGCTCTGGCTCGTCACTGAGATACGCGTGGAGCTCCTTTGGGTTGAACGCCGCCGCCCTTCCTCCGATGTCCACCAGGTTGCCCTCGACGACTTTCCCATCCGGTTGTTCCTTCGCAAGTGGTTGTAGGGCACCTCCTCCTCGGATTGTTTCATTGCCTTTGCCTTGGGCGACCCACAAACCACCCTTGGAGACCACTCCCACTTCCATGACATAGTTCCACGAACCTACTTGGTTCCTCGAATCTCGATGGGGAGGAATATCAGCAGCCTTGAACACCCCTATTGTGGTCCAACTACCATCCTCACCCAAATCCTCGGCCACCTTCATCCGCAGGACCATGTTGAGAAACTTTGTGAGATGTGGCCGTCGCCTTGCTGCTTTAGTAGCACCCCGAAGACCTCCATGTACATAGGCCCCCAAGATTATCGACGTAGTTCGTTCTCCTCTTGCTTTCGTGCTCATTGAACCCACAACATCCACCTCATTCAAGACTTCCGCACACGAGGCCAGATCAAACTTGCCCATGTCATAGAACAACTTAGCCTTCCGCTCTTGTCGCTCTATCATAGACCGCATCTTCCAACCATTGATCACCTGTTTCGGCGGGGATCAACGACGCCGGTTCGGATATTCAAAGTTTCCGTAAGAGCACTGGAAGCACGTAACACCACCGCCCCACCTTTGATTGAATCCGACATCCCCAGATACTTCCCTTCCTCCCACCGATCAGTCAGGTCGTACTTCTTGTTGTTCCCGAAGACCTTTCTTCTGATCATCACCTTGCTCCCAAAAGGTAGCAGCAAAGGCTTGGAGATTCCCAGACGATCATGTGTACGACGATTCGCAGCATGTTGCATCGCTAGCGTCCAGTACTTCACATTCACATCCGCCTCCGCCAACAATACTTTTGCCCTCGTCTTAAACCATCTTACTCCCCTTTCTGCAGCTCCGTTTGTTTGTGGTACCAAGGCTTCACTTCGGGTGTGGTAGATGTCGTGATCCAGTAGCCATCGTCGTAGGCCTCTTGAGGCGAATTCGGATCCCCGATCCGTGTGTAGTCGTGCCACTGGAAATCCCAACAGCTTCAATCTCAGCACCGCCTCTTGAATTGCCAACATAGCATCTCCACCGCGCTTAGACCGTACCGGATACACCATGTAGATCGTCTCCATCTCGACCGGCTTAACCAAGTCCCCGATGAGCTTCTCCCACTGCTCCTCATCCTTCTGCAGGACCTCGTCATCTTCAGGTACTTCAGCTGTAGATATTTGAAAACGTGACGTTCCAGTCCAGCTCACCGGTAGAGCTCGCGCTCCGGATTTTGGTCCTTGCCAATCTGAAGTCTCTGTTTCCACACCACCACCAACATACTTCACATCCGTGACTCGGGTGTCCCTCAACTTAGCCGGGTGTACTGGACATCCATTTGATGACGTAGGGCGGAACAACGCTTTGCGAGGAACTTCATGATGACGAATCAAGATACCGGCGGCCTCTCGAAATTCCCACCAGTCCTCTTTTGTGGCATCGCTCTTCACCCTTGTAGGTCGTAGCGCCATAGGTTCAACTTCATCTCCTTGAACCCCACTATCATCGTCACCAATGCTCGGCTCGTACCCATCGAAGTCTACCTCCTCCAAGGGGTCCACTGTTGCTTCCACGCTGTCGTTCCCAGTCTCCTCCCCCCGTGTAACCTCAACGTCCAAGTCCCATCCTTCTAGCTCCTCGTCCTTTACCGGGGCGTCCTCTGGGCTCAGCTTCTGCTTGGGGTACTGAAAGGTGAACACTATCGCATACTTTTCTCCCTTTGGCCCTGGTACTCGCACAGGTCCCAGCGTATCAGCACTCATCACGTGGCAGTCCTTGTGCAAGCACTTCCGGTGAGGTCTTCCCGTCGCATTGTGGATACACTGCAGGCACTCGGGTCTATGTGGTACATTGTCGTTGGCTAAGTGTCTTTCCCAGCTCTTCCTGTCCACCGCCCTCAACGCCTTGACCATGCGTGGATACCATCCCGGTCTCATCTTCCACCTTTTCCATCCTCGCACAAGGATATGCATCATCATAGGTGCCCACGTAGACCAAGAGCCCCAGGTAGCTTCTTCACGACGTTCGTCACGGACTCCTCGCAGTTCTGTGATGTCCATATTAGATACCATGTAGGTAGGTCGCCTCAAAGGATGGCCCAACCCACCTTGCTCGAAGTGCAACTGTTGTAGGTTCGTTTCCACAACCCATTGCTTGACCCAGGCTCTTTGAAGAGCCCTTGCACTGAGGTCCTCTTCGGCCTCCGAAGAACCCCATAAGGTCACTGCTACACCATCAGTGGGGATGTCCATGAGCTCACACATGTATCTTCGACCCTCACGTGCCGTCTCCACTATTGTCATCAAGCGTAGTAAGTGCTCCTCGGAGTTGTTGCTAGGCAACGAAGCCATCACCCCAGCCACCCGGCCGGTAGCTGCGCCCCACAACATCAACAGGAAGATCCCCTTCCCCTCCTTTAACACATCAAGCTCTGCACTCCGCATGAGGTCCACATCCAGCACCACTGTGTTGTTGGAGTCCATCGGCCGAAAGATCTTATCCGCCTGGGTCTTCTTGCCGCTGTAGAACTTGATGACCCAGTCCTTGTGCATCAGTCGCTTTCTCATTCGCCTGTTGAAACCCAAAGACTTCATCAGTTCCCAAGCCTCGCTCTCAGCCGTCGGAAGGTCTGTCGCCAACCGCACCAAGTCCTCACGAGGAACATTGCGCAGCCATGGCATCGACACTAATGCACGAAACCCATCTTCGAACTTCCCCTTGTTGACGTAGTCCTTCATGCTGGTTTCCCATTGCTCGCAACCCTCCACTTGCTGCGCCCTCAACATCGCCAGCTTGGTGATCCTTGCCTTCTCGTTGAGCTGCTGGATCTTTTCCTCTTCGATCTTGGCAATGAGTTCCAAAGCCGTAGCCTCATTTACCTCCGGACACCCCGCACTCACCCTCAAAGGAATCTCTCGGCCGTCAGGAGCTCGTAGTGCGCATTTCCGTTTCGTCCAAATCAGCTCATATCCCAGTATCGACACCAAGCCCCCAACGGGCAAGATGGTCTGGGACTTTGAGGCCGCAGGACTGGTCAGCAATGTGCCGGCCTCATTCTGTCTCATCCTAGCCACTCCATCACCTGCGATCAGCACATCTACCTCCGCAGAGTCTTCCCATTCTGGACCACCCGCTTGCCGTAGAGGATGGGTGGCCCCCGAATCCACCAAGGCCATTCTTGCCTCCATCTCCTTAACCGCCTTCTTCAACATCTTCATGGAGGGCATACTGCCTCCACTTGCACTCTGCTCCGCCATCATCTTGAGGATCTGCGTCGCATTCCGGAGGAATTCCTCATTGGTGGGCGGCGTTGTAGTAGAGGTAGGAGTAACAGGAGGAACCGAAGACGTGGGCATAGTGGTAGTAGATGAAGTCGGTGCGCTTCCTTTGGCCGTCGAGGCAGAAGGTTCATTAGAGGAGGTGGTGCCATCATCACGCTTGTCGTGGTTCAAGTTCTTAACCCTAGGTTGCCCTGGAGTTCTTCCATCCTCATTCTTCCTTGGAGCCTCACCCGGGTTCTTCAGAGGACAGAACTTCTTCATGTGCCCCTTCGCTCCACATCCCTTGCACTTATCAGCCCGATATTCTCGAGGAACACCTTGCCAGTCATGTAGAAGCGACATGTAGCTCTCTGACACCCGGTATCCGACAAATAAAACTTACACGGCTTTGTGCTTCCGGTAGCTGTGGGCGAAGTCCCCGTCTTTGCAGAAGTGGTGGTTCCAGAGTCACCTCCGGTGGTAGCATTCCTTACCGACGGGATGGCTGTGTTGTTGGTCTTGGTCCTTCCTCTGAAGGACAACTGCTCGAACTCCACTAGTAAGTGGCTGTGGTACTTGAGGATATTCGGCAACGTGGGAGCCGAGTCCAGATCCAGACTGTAGCGTAACATGTTGCTCCGAAACACTATCTCGGTGCTGCGCTCCATTTGCTGCTTGGCCGCACTGTCCAATCCCTTCAGCAGTATACTTGCATCTGGTATTTGTAGTCCCAGGTCCTGGGCCCGCTTGAGCCAGCGCATCCACTTGCGCAGGACTTCAACCAGATCCGCTGCTGTGGTGGCAGTTCCTGGGTTCTCCAGCGCTCGAAGTACTTGTTGTCGTTCAGCTGCTGAGCCTGGCCGGTATATTGTGAGGATCCTCCCTAGGATTGAAATTGTAGAGCTCAAACGGTTCGCCATCAGCTCACCCTTCAGGCCCTCTGGTACTGCTTGTAATAGCATGCTCGCTGCCCGCTTATCCAGCCTGACCCACTTCGGATCCTTCAACGTCGCCATAGCGTAGTCCTCTGCTCGCAGCTGGACCTTCCTCACTGTAGACGCCGCCACATAGTCCTTGTAGAACGCCTCGAGGGATGCTAAAACATCTGCCCACCAAAGTGCGCTGCCATCTGTCAAATCCCCCATCGGTCCCGCCAAGCCATGCAACCAATCTCCCACATTGATTGCCGCCTGCTCATCTGCTTCTGGAAGCTTTGGCAACTCCGACCCGCTCACACCAGGCCTAATCACCTCTGGCTTGCTGGCTGCCATCCCCATCTGTAACGCCATGGCCGCCTGTAGCTGAGACATCCCTTGCATAAGTGCCTCCATGGGGTCTGTAGTTGGGCTAGACATCCCCGCCTTCGTCGTGTCCTGTTCTGGTACTTGAGATCCTCGAGGAGGTGAGCTGCTTGCACGCCGAACCCCAAGAGGATTCCACGGATCCTTGCCAGAGATACCCGGTGCATGCATATTTCTTGAAGGACCAGAGATACCCGGTGCATGCATATACATATTTCTAAAACGACCCCCTTGTTCGCGATCATGTCCCGAAAGTCCAGCTGGATTGCCTCCAGGAAATATATCACGATTCTCTATCCCATCATCTGTTCGCAGACCGCCTCCTAGTAGCCCTGGTGGATTGCCGCCGGAAACGTTGTCCACGAACACGGAACTTCTACCACCCAAGTCATAACCACGAAGCTCTCCACTCCTTGACCTTGAGCGGCCTAGTTCATCAACAGTCCGACCCCCTTGTTCGCGATCATGTCCCGAAAGTCCAGGAGGGTTGCCTTCAGGTACTCCAAACCGTCTTAAGCCCTCACCGCCTTGACCGGTTTCATGTCCTGATAGTCCAGGTGGATTGCTTACAGGTACTTGTTCGCTTAAGAGATCCCCTTGTTGACCCCCTCGTTCACGACCATGTCCAGAAAGTCCAGGAGGATTACCTTCAGGAAGCTCTGTAGACGTAGTAGACGCCCTAGCCCCTTTCAACCTCCCCGTAGTCTCTGGACCTGCATCTGCTATTCCCACCCTTGCCGTCGATCCCCTCCTCTGTCAGCTCCCGCCTCAGCACTGAGACGTTCCACTTGTAGACGAAGACGTTGATTTTCCTCAGCAAGAGTTCGTTGGCTACTCATGGCCTGTTCAACCTGACGCCGTACTTCTGCCTCCAGCTGCTCCTTTGTATAGGACCCCGAGGAATCCGATCCCGCTGCTGTAGCCCCAGAAGGGCCATACAGAAGTGGCGCTTGGCCTGTCATCTCACGAAGGCGTCGTGACTGTGATCTGTCGAACAAAGGTCCGTCTGGCGTGGCCACCCTCGAACGACTCGGCGACCATGTCGTCTCTTGAATCACAGTCGCCTCAATTCCCGGTCGGCTCTGAGTCACCATTGTAGCATGCCTCTGTACAAACTCCCCAAACCGTGTAAACCACCTCAACGCTGTAGCACCTGGATTTTGACCACCCCTAGTCTGTGGGGCCGTCGCCATGTCACCTGCCTCCGCGCCGCTGGGAGAAGGAAAAGGTGAAGGCCACCCAGGTTGTCTTCCAGCTGTAAGTTCAGTAGACTCAAAGGCTGCATGAGGAAGTATAGGAGGATCGCTACTTGGTGCCCCAGGAACTGACATAGCTGTCTGAAAGCCTTCTCGCACACTGCCTGCCGCTTCTGCTGCGACGCCTGCGCCACCATTCGCCGTAGCGTCCGTGGTAGTTCCAGGTGCAGCGTCTTCGTACGCCGAATCCGGTGTTAAGCGTCGCGCCGGGTCCGGTTCCCTCCAGGGCTCGCCTAAAAGCGACATCATCTTGCGTAGTGCCCTGCTCCACAACCTCCGGTCGGCTAACACCGTTCGGTAGAGGTCGCTGATCTACTCTACTCGCATGCGCAGCATCGCCCGTTGGGCTCATAACCTGATGATCTTGTGGTACTCGACGTTCTTGCTGTTCATGCTCCTCATAAGCTCTAGGTAAATCTGAAAGGCCAGCAGGGCTTACGTGCGAGGTAGTATCCATGGCTTTACCGGTTTACCCCGGTTTCGAATTGAAGGCCGTAATGGCCCGTCACACTGTTTTCCGTCTTGAGCCATTGTCAACAAGTAAAGTGCGTGTCATTCTTGCAGCAGTGGGCCACTGCACAACTTTACAGACCACTTCACAACCGCAAGATGAACTGAAGCCTGTTCTGTGACAACGTTCCACGATCTGCAGGTTTAGGGTTTAGGGTTTAGGGTTTAGGGTTTAGGGTTCAAGGAGTCAGGCCTCAGGTGTTCTAAACAGCCCTCGAGCCGTCCTGAAGCAGCTGGCGGAGAATGGGACAACCGCGTAAACCACAAATTATCGAAGCCCAAGAGGGAGTTTCCGAAAAATAGGGTATCCTATTTGGGGGTCCTTATAATCAGGATCCTACTGTTCAGGGTACTATTTTAGGGTCCCCTATTTTCTGAAACCCCCATGTTGTGTTGTCCAGACAATCGGGGAGCTTCAAGCCTTGATCAGAGGGAGAGCGAATTCTGAAGCCGAAGGTGTCTCACCACAGATGAGTGGTCGTTTAGAAAAGAAGGGGCCCTTGAAAGACCCCACCGGATGTGGAGGCCAGCAGCAGCATCGACGGGGTCATCCCCAAGACACAGAGAATCCTTGGGCGGATCTTGGTGTCGTTCGATACCTGAGTAGGCTGCCTGGCTCGCATTTCCAGGTTGTGTCGCTTTCTTCGACAGTGGGCCCACCTCGAAAGGGTCATGTTCCCGAGAACAGGGAGTTTGTGTGGAGAGTCATTGCGGAACCTGAGAAACTTGAACCTTGCCTGAGGCTGCAGGCGAGAGGGGTGGAGATAGTCCAGTTTGGATTCAGTTGCCAGGAGTGAGTAAGCAGTGTCTTCTCTCCACTGCATAGAAGCAATCACCACATGTGAGGCCTTTTGCATTCAGGCAGAGCAGGTTCCGAGTAAAGCCTTCCTCCCCTCTACATCGTGCTTTGGGACTGATAGGTCGTAAGACCGAAGCCTTACGACACAAGCTGATTTTGCCGATCCGCGCATAGCAAACAGTACCCTCAACCCGTTCTCTGAGGAAGGGAGTCGATTTCGTGTGCCACCCGAAGGGCATCTTTCGAGACAGACGACAGCCTGCACTTCAGAGGGGGAACCATTTAGGGGCCTAAATGATTACCAATACTATTTTGGGGGTTCCTCATTATCATTGTTTTTGAGTTTCTAGAATCGGGTCGCGGGTTGGGGCTGTCAGCAGAGCTGTGGCCAGTACGTCGTAGAAGCAGCAGTTGTCCTGTGCTTCTCAGAAGAGCTTTGATGTCACTGTGCCTGGTAGATACAAAGGAACTTGGCTCCGGTGACCTATGTAGTTATGATTAGGGTTTAGGGTTGAGGGTTGAGGGTTTAGGGTTTCGGGTTTAGGGTAGTAGTTATGTAGGTTCGATTAAGACCTCAACGGCCGGGCACAGGCTGGAGGCATTCAAGCTGTTTCGGGTTCAGACACGATTGGCGACAGCGGTTCAGGAATTGTAAGAAGAAGGGGTTTGTTCCTGTTCGCCCAATGCGTGTCGAGGCGAATGGCTTTACTGTGCCTCCGAACTAGCAACGGAAGGCTGGGGACGTTGAGCTCGCAGCAATGGCACAATAGGCCGTGTTCTCGTAGAAGTCGATGCTCCGACGTGTGTTCTTGCCCTGCGCGTCCCCAGTTTATGCAGTGTCTATAATGACGATTCCGACGGCGACACGACGAAGTCGCTGCACGTGGCACAGCTACGACTGCGAAGACCATCGTACCAACAATTCCACAAACCGCGACGACGGCGCGGAGTAACTATGAGTAACTGCTAGCTAGCGACGTTGAGTTATGGCATCAGTCAGTTTCAGTCAGTGTGTGTGTGTGCGCGAAATTAAGCCACCGTGTCGGGGTGTTGTGGTCGGCAGGGCATTCTAAAGCAAGATCTGGATTCCATCGCTGTTGCCTCGAGCGCGAGAGCCCTCGTCCTGGAACTAACATGTCTCTACGGTGGAAGCTGAGGCTCAGGTAGAAGCGGGCAAAGATCAGAACACATCAATCATGGGATTCATTGTGGGCCTGCGTAGCCTTGTTGGCTGTATTCATGAAGTTTCCAATTCTGATCCTACAGTCTGCACCCAGGTCCCAATAAGACAAGCAGAATACATTACTTCTTCTTCTTCTTCTTTATAGGTTATCCCGTGCGTTTAATTTCTTTAAAGCTAAGCGATCTCATCACTGCCTCGTCTTTGGGAGGCGACCTCTTCACCTTCGTGACCCGAGGACCTGATCCGGGACCGGAGAGGGAAGAGGCCCATCATGGCATTTAGGGTTTAGGGTTTAGGGTTCAGGGTTTAGGGTTTAGGTTTAGGGTTTAGGGTTTAGGGTTTAGGGTTTAGGGCCATCATGGTATTGTTTCTGTAGCTGGCATTGCTCTTTTTGGTGCTCTGGATTCTGATATGAGATTTGACCGTGATGATGATCAATCATGAATCATAATGACTACAACGGTAAGTCTTTGAGATTTTTTGTGGTTTTTAACTCAGGATGGTCCAGGGCGTGTTGTAAAGAGGTTCCGGTGACGCATCGTGACAGTGAAGGCATATGCTGACTTATTGAAACTTAGTGCGGTGTTTTCAACATTGAGGGATTCCGTACATCCCGTACAGTGTGGAATGTTGTGCAGCTTTTTCCGATGCAGGATGCAGTTTGTTTTGTCGTCTGCATGGTTTGATGCACTCTTTGCACGATTGCCTCACAGTGTCGTGTTTACTGTTTTCTGGCCCTTCATCTTTCTGTGGTGTTGAATGTTGGCATTGATATTGCATGCAATACCTGTTCCGTTATGTGACCTGTGGGGTTTGAAAGCCAAGTTTCTACCTGTTGCCTGGCTTTCGTGTCGATTGTTTCTTCAAGCCAGAACTTCTTCATGCCTTCGGTTTGGGGCTCGAACACGGTGCAGCATTTGCACAGGGATTTCATGTCAAGGTTCTGGGATTTTCTTCTTGGGAGGCAGTGGGGCCTGGTAGTTTTGGACATGCGAAGGTTTCTCTTCTCGCATTTTCAAGGTGCAGGGAGCGGTAGTCAGCGTTCTAAAGTATGGAACTCCAGGCACGCTTGTATGCACATGTTTTTGTGTTAGAGAGTTTTGGGTTGCCGGAGTTTCTATACTTGGCAGAAGCAGATGAAGCTGCTGTGAAGCGATCACGGCTCAGCGTTGGAACACAGCGTTAGCACAGGAGACTTAGGTTATCGCCCAATATATTTTACTTTCATTAATATTCGCTTCACCTCGATCCAGAAGCCCAAGTTAGGCACCCTAAACCCTAAACCCTGAACCCTGAACCCTGAACCCTAAACCCTAAACTCTGAGCCCTAAACCCTGAACCCTGAACCTTAAACCCTGGACCCTAGAAGCCCGAGCCAGGCATTGCGGCCATTCATGGTGCAGCCGCCTGGCAAAGCTGGGATGATCCGTTTGGTCCCAGGGCCCGGGCCGGGTTTGGGGCTTTTTTGCCATATTTGGGATGCGGGGGTTTGAATGTAATGTAGGAGCCTCAAGAATTAGAATAAAAACAAAAAGTAAAAATAAATAGAATAGGGCTTTGGAGGTTCCTTATTATAACTATACTATAATCTCCCCAAAACCCTATTCTAACTATTAAGGCCCCTACATGAGGGCCTCCAGGTCTTCTTCTGAAGTATGGGTAACAAAGTCGGCCGGTCCTTCAAAGCGGAGCTGTCAAGGCTGTTCTCGGCCATGAGATATCTTCATGATCGCTACATCGCGCATTGCGACATCTCCATGGAAAACATCCTTGTCACCAAGGACCCCGTGCAGGTGTCGTGCATTTGAGAACGGCCGCAGAATCTTCCTTGGAGTGCAAGTTGTTCTTACTGCTCATTGTTTTCATCGCTGTTCCGCATTTACTACGCTGTCGCCGGTGTTGTTTGGGTGGTGTGTGGTGGGGCGGCTGCTGCCGCTGCTAGTGCTGCTGCTGCTGCTGCTGCTGCTGCTGCTGCTGCTGCAACCACTCGCTGAAGCTCGCTCAATTCCTCACGTACGCTGCAGGACGCCACCGATGGACATCTTCAGGCGCGAAGCCTAAGCAAGTTCATTTCAAATGCCCATACTGTCACCCCTCATCACGTTCGGCTCCGGCTTTAGGTTTTCAGGCTTTGGTGGGCTTTAATTCCTTCTAGCTCTCCAGGAAGGCTGAAGCATACGCAGCAGTCAGGCATCCAACTTCAACCCAAGATTTCGGGCCCGAGGCTTGAAGCCTTGCCCTAGATCTGCCACTGGCAGATCTAGGTCAATTCGACGCCATTCTGCCAACTTTAGTATGGGCATTTGAAAAGTTCGTCAAGGCACGAAAGCTTAGGAGCCGTAGTGTTTGGAGGGGGCTGAAGGAGCTCAGGATTCAGATGCTCGAGATTACTTGCGATTTTGTGTGCGTGATCTTTCGCGTTATGTGCTTTAGCGCCCTAGAGGCTTCCACTACTTTCCTGCAGGGTCGAAGGGCGTTTGGGGGAGTCGGGAGGCCGCAGATGGCTGAAACGAATCCAGAAGCCAAGCTTGTATTTGGGGTGTAGGGCTTCGGGTGTGGGGTTTAGGGTTTAGGGCTTCGGGTTCGGGTTGTTTAGGCTTCAAGGTTGTATGCGCACGCACCCCAGCAGGCGTCAGGCGATGCAGAAGCCGCATGAAAGGACCCTGTACGGCCCAAATCCTTTACCCAGAACCATCTGGGACAGGTGAAACTCATAGACTTTAGCATGGCTGTGATCGGCGAGAAGGCGACATCTGATTTTCCATTCAGCATGAGGGCAAGGATGCCTTTTGGGAGTTTCTGGGAATCCCGAGAGGGTGCGGCAGTCTCAAAACAGCAACCCAGAAGCGACTCTAGTTTAGAGAGCCACCCATGTGTTCAAACTCACAAGGACGGCAGGAGTATGGTGTGATGCGGGTACGCGGCACTTGATGGTGAGTTGGTTCCTTTATGTTCATTGGTGCACCCTTCTTCTGGTACCGCTGTTTCGTATTGTCTGAGCGTTCGAGTCACCGGAAAACTGTGACTATGGAAGCCGTTCTGCTTACGTCGCCTGCCGCTCTGCTTTCTTGATGGATTGTTGCATAGTCGCCGCTGATCCACTGCAGTCCCCCCTTGATAAACACTGCCGGCAACAAGTTTCAACATCTCCTTTCCTGTGTTCCTCATGTGCGCTGCAAAACAGCACCACATCGGCTCGCCCGCATAGCAACCCCCACACCCCTAAACCCGCACCAGTGTCACCGGGAGAGGGCTTTTCAAAGCCCTCTTAAAGTTAGCAATGACCATTTCCATTTTCTAACCATGCACCACCCCCTAGCACCCAAACTATAGCAACCGATACCTCAATCCCCAACTCACCAAAATACCCATAGCAAGACCCACCTGAAGAACCCATACTATGGAACTACCCACAACCCCATAGAAAACCCCCAACCTCAACTCCATACACCCACACCTCCATAGGAAAATCATATTCCCCAACCTGAAATCCCTAACCCTAGAGAATGGAAATGGTCATCTCTACTCAAATGTCTATAATCGGAATAAGGTTTAGGAATAAGGTGGCAACGGCAAGCCAAAGAGTAATACCTACGAATCACACTAGTGGTGATCATTGGTATTACTATTGTGATTAGAAGAAGTACTGGTACTAGTTTTGTTGCCCCAAATTTAGTAGTAGTTTTCGGCTTCAGCACGTTTCTTGGTGCCGGTTGTGACTTTTGTTCAGTCTCCAAGGGTCTTTGAATTGTCTGGCCTTCTCTCACAGCAAATAGCCACAATGATATTGATAGTAGTGATAAACAGGAAAGTTATAGTCATAGTAATACTAGTAATAGTACAAAAATACTGCTACGAAAAGAAATAATGATTTTTCTTACCTTATAGTTATACCTGTAATTACATTGTGAATAATAGTAATATTGATCATAATTACCCAAAACCCCAGCCCAAAATCCCTTAACCCTAAACCCTAAGAAGAAGACGAAGAATAAAATATAAGAAGGATAGCAGTAATAGCAACAAGAACAACAATCATAATAATATTACTAGACATATTAGTCGTAATAGTAACAAGAATAGCATCAACTACTTGTTCGCATGGTCGTCTTTCCGCATGAAGTGCGCCCCATTTGTTCCGGCATGCGTCTCTCAATCGTTATGAAAGCTGTAATGGTACTTACCACATTCTCCTGGACATCCATGACGACAAGGCGGTTTGTTCTGCCAGTCTGCGCTGGCTACGCGCAGGTTCCCGTGCTTCATCAGTCGCGTTTCGCTCTGCCTCAGCTTCGTGCCGGATGCTTGTTCAGAAACATGCGTAGATGGACTCAGACCGCCACATCCCCACCACACTACGGGAAGATTCAAGCTTCTTGCAACCATTATTGCAATTTTGTCACGAGGAAGGGCACCGGACATGGGCAGTGTCACTGGCCTGAAGATTTGGGACCAGTTTGGGCAGTCGCAGCTGGCGGTTTTCACACTTGTGCAGTGCGGGCACATGGTCGGCTCATCTGTTTTGGAGAGAATGAAGCTGGGCAATGTGATGTGCCAGCAGATTTGGGACCAGTTTTGGCAGTCGCAGCTGGCGGTTTTCACACTTGTGCAGTGCGGGCAGATGGTGGGCTGATTTTTTTCTAGAGAATGAAGCTGGGCAGTGTGATGTGGACAACCGCTGATCATGCAGAAAAAGCGACCCTAAACCCTAAACCCTAAGCCTTCTTTGAACTACTCGCCTGCATGGCCAGCCCCTTTGACCCCAGAACCAGAAGTTGGAACGGCCGCTCTGGTGCGGCGTCTTCCTATGGGTCTTCTGGTGGTTCCATGGTATGGGTATTGGTGTGGGTCTTTCGGTGGGTTTAGGGTTGAGGTATAGGTTGGTATGGTTTTGGGTCTTAGGGGCATAGCGGGGTGGGCATGGTTAGAAAACGGAAATGGTCATTGCTAACTCTTAAACCCCCAGGCCCCTAGCCCACACCCTAAACCCTAAACCCTAAACCCTAAACGGTGGGTTCGCAGGTCACTTGCGGCCATCGCGGAAAGCCCTCCTACCAGGCCGGATCAGCGAATTGGTTTCGTTGGGCTTTCGGGCTTTAGGCCTTTAGTTTTTGGGGTGTAGGGCTTCGTTAGTTGGGGTTTCGAGGTTTCAAGCGCTTTGTGGTTTTGGCGTTTAGGGTTCAGGTCATGTAGGGGTGTTGATATGTTACTCAGACTTGGACGGTTTGTGGATTTCTGAGCTTATGGCTTAGGAGCTATCGTTTAGTCTCGTGAGTCCGAATTCCAAAAGCGCTAGGAGCTTGCAGAACCCTACACTACCTGCACCCTCCGGCAGGGAAGGTGCCCTCTGCAGCATAGTCCCTGTATTATACACCATATAACATCATCTAAACATAAGGAAACCATAGTTCATTGGGCCGGGAATTTAGAACAATTAAGACAGCAAATCTTGGTCAACTCGGCCATCTTGCAATCTTGGTCGTCTTGCCCCACTTGCTCGGCCACTCGCCGACTGGTTTACATCTTAGACCCAGATGACCAAGATTGCATGGTTTTTCTTGCCCGGGCGAGTGGGGCAGGTGGGGCAAGATCGCTAGATTGCTGGTAATCTTGCTCAAATAATTCTTCTAAATTCCCGGCACACTGCCATAGTTGACGCAACCCCTCCCCAAACCTTATTGGGTCAATAAGGCTCCTTTATTTCGGGCTTCGTGGCCAGGCAATCGTGAATCAACGGGTTGAGCTTTCCACGGTAAGGATTTCTCTGCAAACGGCATGTGATTATCCTGAGGGCATCCCTCTTAGAGCCGGTGGTACAGCTTTGGCAACGATCTTTCAGTCAAGTGTTGTTGAACGGAATGCTTCTGACAAATAAGTTCGGAGGATGACTGGTCTTGCTTCCGTGGTCTGTAGCCGAAAGTGTGCTCAGGCTCCCAGAGCTAAACCACTCTGTCTGGGGATTTGTTGATTGTGGTTGATCAAACTCCCTGCTTCTACTGCGACCAGTGCTGCAGTGCCGCGGCTGCTGCACTTCTCCACCACATGGGAGCTTCCGAAAGTTGAGGGGTCTGAGATTAGATTGTACCTATAGTCTCCATTGTAGTTCCTTTTTGGGGTTACCCTTTAGGATCCTTAATATAGAATTGGTTAAACCAAAAAAAGGAACTACAATGGAGACTATAGGTAGACTCTACTTCAGATGACTGGTCCCAACCCGACCGGGGGTCCACGCTTCGGGCCTCGAAGGCGCCAGAGATGGCGCTGACACCCTTCTACGACCCCTTTCTGGTCGATGCCTTTAGCGTGGGCGTGGCACCTTGAGCGGCGTTACTTCAGAGTCTAGGGCCGTGTAGGGTTTAGGGAGCTTAGGGTCTTAAGGTTGGAGTCTACAGCTGTATTGTCTGACATCTTTGGGTCTTATACTTGTTGATAACTTTACACTGGTTGGCTAACGGCAAACGGACATGTCATCATTCCGCTGACAGTAGAAGCTTGCAGCGTCAGGAAGCTCGTGTCGCTTTGGGACTTGTGCGAATCTTCGATGAATGTTCTCATAGCTGCTTCCAACGTCGCACCTGGCACCTTGAGGCCTGCGACTTGCGACGACCCCGAACCCCATGTGCAACGACCCCGGGACCCCGAACCGCTACCACCCCACGTAGACCGAGCCGTGTACTAAGGTCCTGTTCTCAGCTGCTGCGCGGATCTACCCTTGGCTGTCGACAGTTCAGGGCCGATGCAAGTGTTTTGCAACTTGGCATCGATATGTCTTCACTTTGAGGTGCAGTCATGATGGCTACTGCCGTCAATTTGACTCTGATTGCGAGTATCGTTTAGTTCCGATTGTACGGGCGGTCATTGCTGTCATCTGTGCCCAAACCATGCGCAACGGAGTTGCTGCGATTTTGGAAATTTCTTGCCGCTATTATCATCTCCTCCTCATCTTCCTGGTTCGTCGTGTCGTGATGATAATCGCCACTCAACCGCCATCACCGACGTCCTGAGCATTACCATGCATCGCAACTGTCATCGCACCGTGATCACACGACATGCGCGCCAGGCTCCTCACTCTTTTCTCTGCTACTTCAGGTCCAATCATTTGGATCGCTGAGCTGACAGTGCTAGAGTTGTTGCTATTATTTTTTACGCGATATGCTTGTGCTCAAGTTTGGAAGAGTTGTGTCCCAATGCATTGCGCCTTGTCAGGATTATGTACTAGATCACGGTCACCGAAAATTTTGGAGGACCCGTGTCTTGCCTGCAGACAGGGTCTCAGATTCCTCTGCCGCCCCGTCGCAGCCTACGGCGGTTTGCGCTGGAATCGGGTCGGTCTCCTGGCTCCTGGTCCTAAGGCCCCCCGACAACCGAAACTCTGAAATCCCAACGCCGTAAGTCCTAAACCCTAAACCGTAAACCCTAAACCTAAACCCTAAACCCTAAACCCTAAGCCCTAAGCCCGAAGCCCTGGCTCGCAAGGTAAGATCAAGAAGACTCCGCCCACCAAGAACATCGATCAGTGCTTCTCACAGGCATCCGGGAGCTGCGCATACTGCTTCAGGGCTGAGGGTTGATGGCCTGAGTAATTGTGAATAGTGTCTCTTGAGGGCTCCTTGTTAATCTTTGACTCTTCTTCAAAATACCACCCCCGAAACCCTATTAAAACTATGAAGGCGCTTTGTTCTTGCGGGGATCTTTGCGATAGACAAGGTTTCTGGGTCTTAGTATATTAGATTCTGATTTTGCAGGGACAATGAGGGGATAGGCATGAATTTCTCAGAGACCCAGCAGTGTCGGCTGCTTCGTAAGGAACCCCGAAACCACGAAGCCCAACCCCCCTTCGAAAAGAAGCTTGCTGCTTGCCCCCTGTCCCCCAGTTCCACATCCCGGAATCCTCGACCCTAAAGCTGTTGTCCTTAAGCCCTAAGCGCTGAACGCGGATAATTGCAACTCTGCAAGCCCTAAACCTTAAACCTTAAACACTGAAGCTCTGCCGGAGCACTATCCATGCCTTACAGGGTTTCGTGAGCCCTAAATGGGGACCCGTTTCTGTGAGGATACCCTGGGTTTAGGAGCCCACCCAGAAAATGCACAGCCTCGCACGAAACGGTCTCCAGCTTCGTTTGCTCATGGTCTAGATGCCACACGTGGCCAGGACATATGTATCGGCGGCAGCAGCAGCATCAACGCAATTGAAACGCGATCATCCGCGTCATCATCATTTCAATCAAAATCATCATGATCGTCGTCGTCGTCGTCGTCACCCCCATTGTTTGCACGGCGGCAACAAGGAGTTCAACACTGCCAGCGGCAGTTACTAGAGTCTTAGAGCTGAGGCATCGTAGCAGCACTTGCAGGAACAGTTTTGGGTCGCGCTGACGACGATGCTGCTGCTTCTGCTGATGACGATGATGATGATGAGGCTGACAACGCTGCTACTTCCAGTGATGCGGTGCTGTCGGTGCTTGTACTGGTTCCGTTATTGGCGGCTGTGGCGGTTGGTGGTGATGAGTCAATGCCGCCGCTGATGTTCATGATGTCGGTCATCATTCGGATCGCGAAAAGTGACAACCTTGGCCGAAATGACTGCTTATGGTGCCGATCTGGCACCAACAGCCAGAAATAGGATCGACTCCAATATAAACCCTAAGTTCTAGGGCCTGCTAGGGTCTTGAGGATCCCCGCAGTGGGACCCGAATAAACTCACCAAATCCCCGAAGATGGGTGATCGGAAGCTGGAGGAGTTGAAAGTGCTCGTCGAGGGTCTCCTGGCCCTGCAGCCTTTGGCCGGAGACCTACGGGGAATTGCAGTGACGTCAGAGCCGGGTCTTGGTATGCTACTGTAGAACTACGGACTTTAATGGGAGAGTAGTACGACTTATTAAGACCCTGGTAGCATGGATTGGGCCGGAAGGTTTGAGGTAGGACGAGGAGGAGGGGGAGCAGAAGCAGCAGAATCAGCGGATCTGGTGGTTGTTATCGAGGTGGCGGCGGTAATTGTGGGAGTATGAGCGTCAATACGTGCATGCACGTGGTCGGACTGTTACCGGTTAAGCAGGCCGCGTCGTGGCCAGACAGTGGAGCTGAGCATTTGGTGAACAGCGTCGGCTGAAGGCTTACAGTCCCACAACCCCGAACCTAGAATCTTACCAAACTCCGGCATCGATGGGGCACCTGAACCCTAACCGAAGATGTTGGGGTTTAGCAAGTTTAGGGTCCACAAACCCGAAACCGCTTTTGAGGTGTAGGCTCATGGCTTTCCCGCTAAGGAGCGCTTTTCCATTGACGAGGCTTCCAGTCACAGCTGGCTAGATGGCGACGGCGACTTGGCATAGCATAGAAGCTGTATACTCTAGTACATTATAGCATAGTATTGTATCGTATACTACATCACTCGAAGTTGAGGCAAAGGACGTCCTGTTCTCAATTTTGCATTTTAGGGTTCCGGCTTGTTAAATGTGAGCTTACGTTCACCTCCCTGTGTTGAATTAGGGATCTGCAGTTTTTTGAAGCTTGCAGCGCTGGCTGCATGGTTTCACAAAGCTGAGTTCGCCGCCTTGTTATCAACTTCTTTTGATGTACCGGCCGTTCCAAACCCTAAACCCTAAACCCTAAACCCTAAACCCTAAACCGCTAAGACAGCAGCAACATTAGTGGTGACAACATTAGTATCGGAGGCGAGGTTGAAATTAAGTTTCACTGTGCAAGCAGCGCTCGATCTTCCAGCTCTTTCGCGGGGAACCATGTACTACTACTACTAGTACTACTAGTACTACTAGTACTACTACTACTACTACTACTACTACTACTACTACTACTACCACTACTACCACTACTCCTCCTGCTGCTGCTGCTACTACTACTACTACTACTACTACTGCTACTACTGCACTACAACGACAACTGCTGCTACTGGCTGCTGCTGCTGCCCTTGATACTGCTACTACAAAACAACTCTAGAAGTGGAGACCCTACTGCCACGTTGCACGACTTCTTTCCTACATGGACATTGCCATCGCAAGTATCACTTGGATAGAGACGAGGTACCGTGACCCACACTCTCTTTGGCAGCTAAGCCTCGTGGCTTCTGAGTGAAGGGGGTGATAGCGAAGGGCTGTTCGGCGGTGTCCGAATTTCATCGCATTCCGGCTGGGCGGATCAGAAGTAGTTGCTTCCTGGTTCGGGCAATCGGTTTTGGTGCTACATGGGATCTGCTACTAAACCAGCTCTTACTCTTACAGTGGGGTAGCTTGTGCCGACAAGATTCGGGTAGGAGGTGACATGCAAGTGTGACAGACAGGCGCAGTTCTACAATCTCTTACAAATATATGGGTCGAACAGTTCGTAATATATTATTTGCAAGGGTCCCTCGTTTTTTACAAACCAAAAGCATCCAAGACCCCTATTCTTATCACTAAGGCCCCCCTCTTGTCCCTACCGTGCCCTGAACCCTGACTCTGCTACTGTTGCAGCAGTTCTGTAGGTGGCAATCTGGACAGGTCTGTGGAAGTTCCTGTTTGCTTGCAGACTGTGTTTCTGATCTGAACTACCCGCCCAGAAACTAACATCAAGCTCATGGCGAGGAAAAGATTCCACTGAAATCAAGACCCCACAACCCGGTTCATGTTTATTAGGGTTTAGGGTTTAGGGTTCATGTTTGTTTGGTGTGTTGCTTTAAGCTTTCTCTACAGGACGCACCAGTCCCGGCCTAAACACTACAAGTAGCTCCGACACAGACGCAGTGACATCCGAGTCTCGGAGAGCTGTCAAACTCAGAGCTTGCTGCCCAGTCTTTATTATTACTATAAGAATTTATTATTATTATTGTCATATTATTTATTATTTATTATTTTTTATATATTATTATTATTATTTGTTATTATTATTATTGTTATTTATTATTATTATTATATTATTATTATTATTATATTATTATTATTATTATTAGTATCATTATTATTACTGTATTCCTTTCAGGCTCAGGGAGACGGTGCGGTTCGCAAGGACGTCGACAGTGCTTTTGCTGCATTCTGGTGCTGCAAGCATAGTTCAAAGGGAAAACGGGATCGTGGCAGAGACTGCGGATGTTGCATGGTCATGTCGCAGTCTGCAGCTCACCCACGTTCATCAGTAGGGCACTTCTCCAATCACGCAGCCTCGTCATAAGCGTGTGCAGTTGAGCCCCAGTGCCAAAACGCACAGGCCTAAACCCGAAGAAGCCCCCCTCAAGTAAAGGCCCTGTCTCCAAAATGCTAAATGCTAAATCTTCTCAAATGTGCGACCTGGACGGCTAAGGTGCCCTTCTTGCAGGAATTCACCAAAAGGGTTTAAATGCCGTGAGATTTTCAGGGACCCTCCCGGAGGTCCAACAGGCGACGAATTCTTTTTTATAGGAAATGGGCAGGCTGTTCACAGAACCACAGCTCCCACGTACCTGAGCTCAAGGATCCGGGCTTATGGGCTTTAGGCTCGCAAGACTTGAGACTAAGCAGCGTTAAACTCTCCTAGTGATGTTGTTGCTGCGGTTACCACTCCTGCCTCTGCCGCTGCCACCGACGGCAACATCGCCACTTCGACGACGACGACAACGACGACGGCTGCTGCTGCTGCTACCTCCACTGCCACTGCCACCGCAACTGCCACTGCCACTACGACTGCTGCTGCTGCTACTACTACCACTACTACTACTACTACCACTACTACTACTACTACTACTACTACCACTATTACTACTACTACTACTACTACTACTACTACTACTACCACTACTACTACTGCGGCGACGATGACGACTACCACTACTACGACGACGACTACTACTACCACTACGACGACGACGACTACTACTGGACTGCGATTGCGACTGCGACTACGACTGCGACTGTGACTGCGACTACGGCGGCGAGTACAACGACTACTTTCGAGCACGAGCACTAGTACTAGTTTTATGCCGGTTGAGGAGAAGACGGTGCAGGCCATGTTGCGAATGACCCTGGCTTGGATGGTACATACTGAAGACGACCACGATGACCGTTTCGGTTTTTGTGACGCTGACCACGATGATGCAGGCAAGGATGATCGTAACACTGGCTATGGCGGGGATGGTCCGGTTCAACATGATGATGACGACGACTGTCGAATCCTGGTATGCGCGGGCGCAAGATGAAGATTACCTTGCATATGCTTACACTGATGGTTCTACTCTGGTTGTGAACGTCTGTCCAACGGTTTTGGCTCTGGGATCTTTGCCACATCACCTTGGTCCCTGTGCAGAGTGTTAGCTGTCATATCCTATACTAAACTATACTCTGCTATACTATAATTACTTTACTCTACTCTACTACACTCTGCAAACCGTCCCCGAATCCCGGAAGCCCGGACCTCTGCTGGTTCTTTCCGGGAAGGATGGAATAGGACGGCAGCAAGAAGCCAGGAGCTAGCGGTTGGGGGGCTCGGATCCCGCAAGCTTAAACGCTAGGTCTTTAAGATTTCGGGTTTTTTTCTGGTTTCCGGTCTAGGTATTAGCTATAAGTCTAGGGTTGACGAGCCTCCTTGTACGCAACGTGGGCATGTGGAATTTATGCAAACGCGCTGCGTGTGCTCCCCGCTTGGTCTCGTGATTTATCCATGAACGGCATTCCGCATGATGACAGCATGAAAGAAGAGCAGTAGAATCTCAGAATGACGCCACAAATAACAAGCGGGACGCAAAGCAACAACCGACGGCAACCACGAACACACACACACACACACACACACCCCACAAAAGAATAAGCATCAATCAACAGCAAGAAGCAACAACAAATACCAACCAACAGCAACCAAGAGTAGCATCAGTAGCGCAACGACAACAACAAACAACAGGATATCACTACCACCACTACTACCACCACCACCACCGCCGCCACCATCACCACCAGCACCAGCACCAGCACCAGCACCAGCACCAGCACCAGCACCAGCACCAGCACCAGCACCAACACCAGCACCAGCACCAGCACCAGCACCAGCACCAGCACCAGCACCAGC